ACTACCGTCTCCTATTTAAATGTTAATTAAATTGAAATTAATGCTTATCATTTGAGTAATCATTCGAATTAAGCAAAAATTTGAACTCGTCGTTTTTTTAAATTTAAATAAATTTTACACTTATCATTTGATAATCATTCAAATTAAATTAACGAAATTTCCACAAATTTTTGTTGCAATTTTTTTCTTCCTTCTCTTTTCATCCTTTTAAAAAATTGTAACACAAAAAAAAAAAAAAAATTCTCTCTTTCAAATTATTCGAAAGTAATTCATTTAGTATTATTCCAAAACAAAAAAAAAAAGGAACGAAAAATGAAAGTAAGGGAGAGAGAGAAAGAGGAAGAGGGAAGAAAAAAAGTTTGATTTGGAAAAATTTATTCAGATAATAAAAAGTTGTTAGTTGTCAACGATAATTTAATGACAAAATGGTTGTTGACGTAATCACCAGCCAATACTACTTCAAGAGTACCACTTCAAAAAAGACTTTAAAAAATATCAATCAAATAAAAATGATCAAAAAAAAGGCGAGAAAGTGGACATAAGAGAGAAAGAAAGAAAGAAAGAAAAAAAAAGCAAGATTACGATAAGTAAAATTAGAAGCTAAGTTTTGACAAGTTAGATTGAATAATATTAATGAATTTAAATTGTTTTCTATCTTCTCTCAACTTTTTTTTCCTCAACTAATGATCTATCGTTTCGTTTCGTTTCTTTTTTTTTTATATATATTTTAAAATTTCGATTAATTTCTTGTTTTCTTTTTCTTTAATTTTTCAGCAAATCATTAATTTGTACGGTTTAATTAATCTCAATCTGATTTAGATGTAAAAGGAAAAAAAAAGACTTTAATTTAATAGAATTCAATTTAATTTAATTTTTTTAAATTTATTTTAATTCAATTTAAAAATAGAATTAAATTTAATCGAATAATTACAATCTTTCAAATTTGTCGAATTTGAAAGTTGAAACATTTTCCACTAATTATAATGCCAATTAATTCTGCGTATTCAATGCAACAAAAATTTTCTCATTTTAATGCTTTCATGTTTGATACAATAAAGTTTATAATTTTACTTTTCATAGATCAAAGATTAATTAAAGCACCAAATACTAATTATTTTATTATCAGTCTTTTTCACATTGACTTTTTAGGCTACCACAAAATAATTGTATAATTAGTTATAAATTGATATTATCATTGGAAATATGCAAATTTTTAGAGATTTGTAGTTTTGCTTAAAAATGGATAAAAAGGGATAAAATGGGTTTGCATTTTTTTTTCTTTTTTTCAGTTAAAATCTCTTTATTACAAATTTATAATTATTTAAAATTTTTCATTGAAAAAATAAAAAATACATTTGTAAAATTTGCAAAATGATTTTTATCAAGTGCATTGATAAATTATCACAGAAAAAAGTGATATCGATTGGCTGGAAAAAAAAAAAGAAATTACATTAATTAATATGTTTAGTGCTACTATTTGTTAATTGTTTCATTTCGTAAATTAGATTTCTAAATTAGATCTTTTTTTTTAGATTAGATTTCTAATTAATGCTTGTATTTCATTTCAAATATGTCAAAAATTTTTTAATTTTAAAAATGATCAAAGTTTAATCCTTTCAAAGTTGCAAATTATTGCAAGATAATAGTTACAAAACTTTCATATATTTCAGGAAATTTGAAAAAAAAATATGCATACTTTCAGGTTATTGATTTATTGTAAAAGTAAGTAAAATTATGCCATATGCAAGAAGATTAAACTCTAGAATGAATATAAAAGTATAGACTTAGGGAATATTAGATATAAGTTAAATAATTAAATAGGTTAAATGAGGTAAAGTTGAATAAACAGGTATTATAAGTTAGTTAAGTGAAATATGATGGAAAAAAAATTTGCTTGAAGCATAAATGAAAGTAGCAATAAGTTAAATGAAGTATAAGTAAAGGATTGAGGCTCAATGAAGGATAATAAGATGAAGTTAGGTATGATGGAAATGATAATCAAAATTAGATAATTAATTTTTTATGATTAGGGTATAATAATTAAAAATTTATTTCTGGAAATATTTTTCTCTATGAAAAATCAATCGTAATATAATTTTATTTTTTTTAAAAAAAAGAGGAACTATAAATTAATCAAATTTGATATTTGAAAAGGAATTTAACAAAATTTCCCTCCTTATCAATTAAACAAATTCAGAAGCCTTTTTAATTGACTGAACCAAAGTTTATTTTTCATTTAAAAAAAAAAAAAAAACCTATCATATTTGATCGAACTTGATGTATCAAGCAGATAAAAGATATCCATGCATAATTTTAAAATTTGAAATGTTTCTTAAATTTTTTAAAATCTTCCATAACTTCAAATCCCCTAATTT